AAATAAATATAAAATATATTAAAAAGAATTGATAATTTCGGTTTTTTTTTAATTACAGAACACAATTTACACTTTATTTTTTTTCTAGATAAATGAGGAGGCAGGGAATAAGGGTTTTCTTCTTTGGAGCTGAACTGTGAATGTTGCAAATCTTACCAAAAGGAGTTTGAGAGAGGAGATACATAGAGTCGATAATTAAATTAATGTACAATGTTCAACACTTCGAACTCACTTCATATTTACAATTCTTGTTTGCTTGCCTGCACAAAGAAACAAGCTTGTTCCCAACTAAGTTCAAAACTGTTATGACAGGTTTTGGTCGAAACCATGACCCCTAAATCAAGGCCTGTCCGGAGAGTCACTCACAACTGTTCTTACATTGAAAGGTCTGTACTGTACCTTTCATCCCATGTGGTGCTCACATGTCCGAAGGAGACATGTCTACATAGAATATTAGCAATTTTCATTGGACCAACAAGGCATGCTTTGATGGCCGAGTGTCATACCTCAAATGGCGAGTACAATCTACATTTTCATCTCCTTGAAATACCAAAAGCCAAATTAAGCAGAAGCAGTGCCCCCCCCCCCCCCCCCCGGCTCCACCCCAAAACTAAGCTAACCACAAGATTATGTAAGAACTTTTTTGCACTCACTAACTTATTGCCATGTGTCAGTCCCTGGATTCTCTCCTCCCACTTATGTTTCCCTACTTCTTGTCACACTGTGTTCACACTCAGAGTTGGTCGAGTGTAGAGAGCTTGTGCTGCGTGAGAGATGTTGAAAGAGGAGAGTTGTGATTGTAGTATTGATGGAGGCAATAATTGGGCTCGGGTCAGCGACACGTGCTGCTCCGCGGCTTGCACGGTGTACCGCCGAGCAGACTCGGCCTACCTCTGTACCGGATGTGATGCCCGTGTGCATGCTGCGAACCGGGTAGCCTCGCTCCATGAACGTGTGTGGGTGTGCGAGGCATGTGAGCGTGCACCTGCTGCCTTTTTGTGCAAAGCAGACGCTGCATCCTTGTGCACCACATGTGATGCCGATATCCACTGCGCCAATCTGCTCGCACGACGCCACCAGCGTGTCCCAATCCTTCCAATTTCAGAGTGCCAATATGGCACCTCTGCCACCGATCTAAGTGGCCAAGAAATTATAGCTACAACTGAAACCGAAGATGGCTTTATGGCAACAGAGATAGACGAGACAATTGCCGAGGAAGACGAGGAGGATGCAGCTTCATGGTTATTGCTGAATCCTGGGAAAAACAGTAGCAACCAGAATATCGGGTTCTTATTCGACGGCGAGGTTGATGATTATCTTGACCTCGTGGGATACAATTCGAATGTTGAAAATCAATATAACAGCAGCAACAACATTATGGTGTTCTACACAAGAGTTATGGCGATGATAGTGTCGTGCCAATTCAATCTACAGATGCCAAAAATTACTTGCAGAAGAAGCAACATCAGAGTTTTCAGATCGGCCTAGATTATGATTCCTCTAAAGCTGCATACAGCATCAATGGTTCCATCAGTCACAGTGTAAGTTCTCTTGGCAACAAACAACTAGATAGAAAGTGCTCCAACCTAAAGAAAATTATTTTTTTTAAACATGCAATTCTCAATGGTCTTGCAAAATCTTGAATCTGAGTTTTAGCTCTTAATTTCGCATGTAATTACAATAGTTAACATACTTTTGAGCAATCAACCATGCCAACATTCTCTGCAAAGTTTGTACATGTTTTTGTAGACTAGGCTAATTACATATCCTATTTTCTGCAATTAAAATCAAAGGGGTATTTTCAAAATTTTCCACAGAACTTTATTCATTCTTATTTACTTTACCTTTATTCCATAAAAGTGCATAGTCAAATGGAATGAAGATAGACACTTTTGTTTTCTTTTCCCTTTTGTTTACTTTAATGATGTTTCTGACTTTCCATGAACCATTCCAGGTATCGGTTTCCTCGGTCGATGGGGGGGTTGTACCGGAATCAAATACGAGTGACATCCTAACGTCGCACATGTGGCCTTCTAAAGGTACAATGGACCTCTTCTCTGGACCTCCCATTCAGATGCCATCCCAACTTACACCAATGGACAGGGAGGCCAGGGTCCTTCGATACAGAGAGAAGAAGAAGACAAGAAAGTTTGAGAAGACAATAAGGTATGCTTCAAGGAAAGCATATGCAGAAACGAGACCTCGGATTAAGGGTCGGTTCGCAAAGAGAACGGATCCGGGAGTCGAAGTGGAACAGATGTTCTCCACAACACTGATGACGGAAACTGGATGTTGCATTGTCCCTTCATTCTAAAGGCATTGAGAAAAGGAAAAAGGAAAGGTCTGATGCTGATATTGTATGTATCTTCCTTAATCTGAGTGATCTGAATCAATTGGTATAGTTATTTTGTTGACTGTCTAGATCATGCTCTACTCCTATGCTGTAAATGCATATCTATAACTTTGGAATTTACTTATTTGCAATTACAAATATCCATTTCCTGCTGTTCCCTGTTTTCCTTTTTTTAAAAGGGAATTTTGTATGATTAAAGCTTAAAATCGTACGAAACAAACATTGACAGGCATCGTTAAAAACCCTTCCCAAACTTAGGCGAAGGGAAAAGAGTGCACCTAATCAATGGAAAAAAATATTCAAAGCCATCAGCAACAACACACTACATGAATTTTCAACACAACTACATCACTCCACACTACAATTGAGCAAAGAATAACACTACAGAGCCGAAACTTGCACCACCTATCTAAACACTACTGCAGATAGATTGCCCCAAACCGCTGATTAGGATAAGCCCCAACACTAGCAGCACAACAATCGAAACTTGAGCCCCTAAAACGAGCTTCTAACAGACCACTCGATCAGCCGTGATGAGGGAGGACCTGCACCAAGCAACAAGAATCCACCACTGCATTTGTACCTTCAGCATAAGCAGACATTACAAACCTATCCATCACCTAAATTGTAGACAAACAACGACCAAAGCTATCTCAGCTTAATCAATTCAATGGTGTTTCATTAAACACCGAAAAGGAAATGCAATTTGATCTATGTTACAAAATTAACTGACCCTATTCCCAGTTGTAATGGGATGAGGAGGAGGTAAGGTAGTAGGCTGCCCCCAACGCCAGGTTGAGAGCAACTTACGTAAACACCTCCTGCAATCAGAATTACGAAGCCATTATTAAAAATATTTTGAATGAAACTTAATAATTAATTAAATTATATATATATTCTAAAAATAAAAAATCCGTTATGATTTAAATTAATTATAAATAGATTATAAAATATTTAATTTTAAAAATCAATTTTAATTAAAAAATTAATTATATTATTAAAATTAATTTGGGTCTTTAGTTAAAAGGTTTTGAGCCTGATATCTTGAATTACTTCAGGAAAGAGAACGCACTGGCCATAAAGGCCTAAGCCACCCACCAGGGAGGCCCTATACAAACAAGAATATTATAAGAAGAGGAAGATCAGCCGAATTGATATATTCATTGACGGATACAAGCGATAGGCGTCACTTAAAATTTTAAATTATCTAACATATAATCATGCCTATATACATAAGTATATCGGTTATAACTTATATAAAAAGTTTTTTGATCTAAATTATTGCAAACTTATGTGTTTTCCAAGAACATGGTTAGAACATAGTTGCAGTTGCATGGCACCCATAACCAAAAGCTAAGCTGAAAACAAAAAAGAGAAAAAAGAAACAAAGTTCAGACGCCACAAGATCCTATCAACTTGGTTAAGCCAAAGGTTATAGCCATAGCAAGCCACCCTCCGACCAACACCCTAACCGCAGACTTCACAGTCGCCGCCTTCCCCAACACACCACCCAACCATCCGAACACCAACAAAGCCAAACTCACCGCACCGATCACCACACCTACCCTCACCTTATACTCCGTTATAAAAGATGCAGATAGCAATGGCACCATTGCTCCCACTGAAAACGAAAGTGCTGAGGCTGCCGCCGCTTGTAAAGGGTTCGGTAAACTCTCCTTTTCTCCTTCTCTCTCTCTAAGCTCACCCCTTCAGGTTTCTCTTTTGATTTGAGCCAACTCGATGTCTAACTGCGAGTAAACCGAAACGAACCGCCTATGGCCATGCTGCATGCCCCTGCTACCAGACCTGCAAAACCAGTGAGTATCATGGCCTTAATGTCTTGTTTCACTGCACCAACACCCATCATCAGTGATGCAGTGGAGACGAGTCCATCGTTGGCACCTAGCACGGCAGCTCGAAGCCATTGAGATCGTTTGCTTCAGGTTCCATGTCTGTTTGTCGCTCAACATCGTTCACTGCTGGGATTGTCAACTTCTGGTTGTTAAAAGATGATGCTTCGTTGGTGGTCTCCATGAGAAATGAAAATAGATTGGTAGAAATGAAGGAGATTATAGGAGGAAAGATGGACAAGTGTGGAGGACACACGCCCCTCTACAAGGCTATTTATTGAGGGAGACGTTCACTGAGTGGAGGCAAAGTGGGGTATAAAGCACTCAGGATGCTTAGCCAAAATAAAAAATCTAACATAAGCAATTAATCTATATGATAGAAATTTGTAAATTGGAATTTTAAAATTGTAGAGATGAAGAAAATTCTTGCATGGAAGATTATTGATTGAATTAATATGGTTATATCATATGGTGACAGTTTATTTTTCTTTTTATTTAAAAGAAGAATCATGGTTGGTGATTGATCGATAATCGAGTTATTAATAGTAAAATTATAGACAATTAAAATTGTATGGTTTTTTTAGTGTTGTAAAGGAAGGGAAAAGATTGGTGAGGAAGATCTCGTCCTAAAAAGGTTTATAAATTGATTTTTGGTGTTAGTGTCAAACCTAGGAACATTCGAAATCTTTAATACTGAGGAGTTCTTTTTATGTCCAGAATACTGGCGGGATATGAGAGGAGAAAATAATATGCGCGAAGGATATTTAGCGGGATACAACAAAGATCATTGGTGGGGAGCGTAATAATTTAATAGCCATAACATATCTAGTGTAGCTACACTAGTCAATTGCTGCTCCCCCCATTACTATTGTCTCCATGCAGGTATTGGAAAATCTTTAAAGGAAACCCTAATCAATCTGATTTTTGACCAAACAAATTAAGGCAAGTCTTGCCGCTCTGTGAATTACTTCTTCAATGGGATTGAACTCGACTCTTCGAATGTTGTATGGGCAACGGAATTGTTAGTATCTTTGGTTAAATTATAGTGGTCGGTTCTCCACTTTGCTGCAAAACTCTAAGTATCATGGAGAAATAAAATGTTCTAATTAAAATACAAAGATAGATATATAGCAGAACATCAACTGAACGCATTGCAGTACGAAAAAGTTGAGAATTTTTACAGTCTATGTCTGCATGAAATATCATCTAGTTAACAATACAAAAAGTACTAAGTACCTCAAATCTCTCACTTTTGTTGGGTTATATAACCTTGTTATTATGCATGGTTCAAAATTTTTCTTAGTGTATTGACAATGTACATACACCTTACAGATGTAATTCTTCGAATCTAAATCATTAGAAAGAACAATGTTCTCTTCTACTACTGAGATCATTCAATGTGTTCAAGTGTTTTACATTTAATATACTGATATTATTCATCTAGGGTGGTAGAGGTTCAATGGGTCATTTCTTTATGCATGAACAACATCAAATTACCTTTTTCCCTTTCAAGAATACAAATGCACCTAAAATGTCGCATGCACTCATACAAGCAAGTAAGCTACATATGTTGATCTACAAGCATTATAAAAGGGTTATAGGCATGTTACCTTAGTACTAAAAAATGACCCCAAGTTCATCCAAGCACCAAATTTCCTTTCTTTTGCTTTTGGAGTATTCACCCACCTCTTTTATTAATCAACAATAAAGGGAAATGAGTTAATAACTTATCTAAAGGCTTAAGAGGAATAAAAACATTATTTCTAAGGGTTAAAGCCTCCGAAAGCTCTAAAAATCAAGACCCCTCTAAAACCCCTACTTTGGCCACCATTGCCAAACCTAAAGATGAAGAGCTTGAATGAGAGCTCTAGAAAAGGATATTACAATACTTACCTTGAGAAGACAAATCAAGTTCTCACCTTTGATAACTCTTAAGAGGAAAAAGAAGAGAGAAAAGAAAATGAGATGAAAACAAATAAGTGGAGAAAATGAGAACAGCTGGAACAACTTTGTACCCCTTCTTCAACCACTACATCGCCCACAATTAATGAATTCATCATTTCAAAATATAAATGGTATAATTACTCTCTTGGTCTCTCATCCTCTGAACTCAAATTCAAAAAAAATACTATTTTTATGTCTATATGGACCCAAAACCAAGTCCAACCAAACTCTAACTTGGCCTAACTCTTCATAAAGGCCTATTATTCACTCTAAACTAGAACAAGTTACTTGAAACTACTATTCTGATATATAGTTACCTAATATTATGAATGATGATTATAGATAAGGTCACGTTATACAATCGTCACTAATATAGTGATAAAACAAAGAATTATCACATTTTTTTATTGATAATATATATTAAAAATATAATTATTTATACTCATCTAAACAAAAAATAACATAATTTACTTATTTCAAAATAACAAAAATTTAAATAAAAATTTTACTAAAAAACATAATAGTTCCACTTCTATAAATATAAAGTCACTTAAATGTTTAAAGAAAATAAAAATAATATCACCATATGACGTGTAGAATAATTTGTTGCAAGAATCTCAATTAAAATTTTGTGTCAATGATGATTCTCTCGATGACAAGTTTGTGGTATCATTTGAAGCTATAAATTAAAATAATGGGTAAACTACTTAGTTGATCACTACTATGTAGTCCTTTTATTTTTGCACGATCTTTCAATTTTGTCAATCATACCATTAACTATTTAGTTTGTTCAATTAAACACTAGTTGTTAATATTTGACGAAAATGTTGACGAGGTAATTAAAATAATTGGTATATTTATACATTTATTTCTTAATATTTATATATTCTCTCAATATATAAATTTAACGACTTTAAAAATATTTTAAATAAAAATATTAATTTTTTTGCTTGAATCAAATATTAAAAAAATTAATTCTAATTTATTTTTGCTTCTATTTTCGATTAGATGTAAGTAATAAACCATTGGGGATGGTTGGTGCAGTGGTTAGGGTGTTGTTTATCCATCCTTTAGATATTGATTCGATTCCACCCAAGAGCAATTTCTTTCCCTTTATTTTCTAGCAAATCAGGTGGTGACACGTGTCACCTACTGGTTGGATAGAAAAACCATTTAATTAAATAAATTTAAATTAATAAAAAATATCATCCAATCATGCATTGAAACGTGTCACTAACGACACGTGTCATGTTCATTTGCTGACATATGTCAGATCTTGATTGAATGGTTAATTTATTAAATTAAATTTAAATTATGACCAAATTGAGAGAATATATAAATATTAAGGACTAAATGTAAAAATATATCAATTCTTTTAACTACCACATCTCAATATTTTCGTCAAATATTAACGGCTAGTGGTATGATTGAATAAATTAAATAGTTAAGTGGTGTGATTGATAAATATGAAAGATCGGTGACAAAAGTAAAAGGGCTACATAGTTAAGTGGTCAAATGAGTAGTTTACCCTAAAATAATTAACATTAGGTAACACAATTAAAATTATATAATAATTTTTATTTAATTAACTATATTGTTTACCGACTATTGAAGTGGTGACACTTGAATTTCGGCAGCTGACAAAGTAGATGTCATGATCTTCATTTGGGTTTGAATCGGTTCAAATTTCAATGTATGATTGTTAAGTTCGTCTTCTTTATTCTTCAAACATTTTTTAATTTGATTATATCTGCATTTGAATTTTTTTAATAGGTTTCGGCTCATATCCAAACTCCAGAATGTATCTCGATCTTGTATCAAGTACCTTATCTACTATAGTCTTAGTGTTGGTCCTTCTTCAACCGGAGAGAATTGCAACTCTATCATTTTATCTTAAAAAAATATCATTCATAACTGAAATAATATTTATATTAAAAATTATAATTTAATACTTTTTTTTGTAAGGTTCGACATATTTTGTTTGTGTCGTAAATGTTGTCTATCCTTTGACATATTTTTATAATGTTTTAGTATTTCTTTTCTTTCACTTTTAATTGTGTTTTTGTACTGCGATATCCTCGAGTATATTTCTGTATACATATGTTTATCTGAATGTGTATATTTTACGAGTATGACTGCTATATGAACATGTAGATTGTGATCCAAATTGCAGTTCTAAGTGATTGGTAATGAATTTTACTAATCTTTTTAAGATTATAGCTGGTATCTCTCTTACTTTAGAGATTTTATCTTTCTGGATTTTAATTAAATTTTGTGCTATATCTATATATTGAATCTTTTATTTTTTTTTCTCTTTTTAATAATTTTATTTTTCTCACTTAATTCACCAGTTTTATTTGAAGTTTGAAGATGAAAGAACAAAGCTAGTTGTTACTGAATTATCAGACGAGCAATTTGATTTTCAATCACAAGGTAAGGATGTCAAATGAATTTTATATTTATTAGTGTGCAGAAATCAATAAGAAAAGGTAGTTTGATGTCTTGTATCCAAATATATAATTATAGATCCATTAGGTTCTCACTATTCAGATCGTGGTAGTAGTTTTGGAAACCTCACTACATCTTTGGGTTTCAATCTTAGTTACGTTTGGGTGTGAGATTATTTTATATTGTTAATGAGACAAAAAAAAAACTAGTAATGTTCTTGATTGGTGTTAACAAGAAATTGAAAATTTGATGATAAATCTTTCATAATTTTATTTATAGTTTAATCAATTTAATAATTAAAATTAATGATGTGTCCCATATTATACAAAATAAAATAAATTTATTATATTAGAAAAGGTTTCCCTCTACTGTGTTTCGGCTCAAATGAAATGTCATATTCTGTCAAATTTTCTGTCAAACATAACAATCTTAGTCCTCAGACTCAGTCTGTAGCATCCTTGTTTTATAATTATTAATTAAGAACTAAAATCTATATTGTAAATGGGTGTGTATTTGTGAATGGAGTGGGCTTGAAATTGTATTATGTTATTTTGACGTATCATTGCACTTTGATTGTACCTTATGGTCGTGTTTTAACTTTAAATTGATCATTTTTTTAATTTAACTGTTGATCTTGTACTTTAACATATTTTATATTTTGTATTATGATAAATTAGCATCGTGAACAAAATTTGGATGATAGAAGTCCAAATATTCTGCGAATTACATTGTAAGTGTTTCATCTTTCATTAAATTTGTCGAAAACAATATGAGATCAAAATGTAAATTCACGTATCCTTGTAAAAAATACATAAATGTACATGTTAGAACTCAAAATGAGGTGGAAGATCATTACTTCTAAATGATATTTTATACACGTAAACACTCACGTTGTTAAGTAACTCGAGCATCCTCGTCGGTTCCTCGAGCATCAAACAATGCTAGTTTTATGTCACTTTATTTCGTAGTGTTATTAGTCGAGCTTGATCATTATCATTAGTTTTCGGATTTAAGGTTTAAGTAATTGGGTAAATCAATCTATGGACCAAACTGAACTCATTCAAACATGTTGAGGCAAAGACAATATTTCATAACACTTTAGACCTCTATTGAATGGAATTCCACCTTTTTCCATTGGCAAAACAACGAAGGGATCGATCCTTTATTTAGAGCGATCGATTCTTTTCCCGAGGGATCTATCCTTTAGAAAATGGATTGATCATTTCTCTCGATGGATCGATCCTTTTGGAAAGGGATCGATCCATTGCACAACAGAGAGTTTGGGATCGATTCTTTCGGTCAAGGGATCGATCCTTTTTGGTAAGCGATCGATCCTTTTTGGAAAAATCACTAGTTCGTTGGGACATGCCTATTTAAGTCACCAACTTCATATAATTATTTCTAGGGACAAGATGAATGTTTGGGTGTTATAATATCACTACCTATCTTTAAAATACATAACAAAACCCCTTTCATGCCTTAAACCCCTTCCAAGTGCAAACAAAGGCTTATACACACAACATGCATCAAAGCTTAGCATTTTGATCTACAAGCAGTACGGTAAGGTTAGAAATGTGTTACCTCACTCCTAAGAGTTGTAAAAAAACCTCAAAATCACCCAAGCACTTCATTCTCCTTGCCTTTTCCCTTGGAGCTTTCACTTTCTTCTCTTACTAGAACACATCAAAAAAGTGAGTTATAAACTCATTTAAGGATCTAAGAAGGTTGGAAATATGGTCTTTAAGCTTCCAAAATGGATTTGGAGTCCTAAGGGTTCTAGAACTCAAAACCCCACTCAACTTTCACTCAAGCTTCCATGGCCAAACTACCAAATTGAGAGCTTAAAATGAAGCTCTTGGAGAGGTGATTTTGGATCTTACCTTCACAATTTCAGAGTGGAGATGTTGAGCAACAATTTCCTAACTTTAACTTGGTCTTAAGGATAAGAATGAGAGAGTTTGAAAGGGATGAAGAAGACAAGGTTGGAAGACGAGGACAAAGGGAAATGAAAAAGATGAGAGAGAGAGTCTTCCTTATTGCATCACCAACCTTAATTGATATTCAACCTTTGAAATAATTTTGAGGTTAATTGCACTCCTAGTCTCTCTTCTATATTACTCAACTCAAAAACACTCTTTTTAAGCCTTGTTGGGCTCAAGCCCAAACCAAAACTTAACCATCTACTAGCCTAACACTCTTGAAATAAATATGATATTGAGACTATTGACAGAGACTTTTTCAAATAGTACAATTCCATCATCATATTATGGGATAGTTAAAGTTCCGAGGGACATATGACTTATCTACATACCAATTCATTCATGCAGTTATAATTATGTTCTATTTAGGGAAAATTCAAAGATAGATAAAGTTATTCCAAATGTGAAACATCATGATAGAATATCGTTGAAAAGAAAATATCATGAAAAGTCATATGTTATTTTCCACTAAAACTAAGATTCTAGAGGGTGTTTATGCAAAAGAGCATAGCGGAAAATAAGTAGTAACATGTAGAAAGACTTGTTGATGATGATACATTAAGGCGTCAAACAAATTGAGATACGTGGAAAAAT